TATATATATATATATATATATATATATATATGTATGTTTATTTATATCTATATATATATATATATATATATATATACTAAAATAAACTACTACTTGTACTACTATTGCTACTTGGTGGTTTTTCTGACTTGCCCTCGACAAAGACAGATGCTTTTCTTCCTTCTCCTGCCTTCCTCCTGCTTTTGCTCTTTGTTCTGTGTAACAGAGCCTCTCTTTACACATCTTCCAGATCAAAAATTATTATGGATCTTGTCAGCTGGTCTCTCAATGCGACTGAAAAAATTTTCTCAGCGAGGAGACAGGGTGCAGGAGAACCCTCATGCCCTGAAGGGTCACATGCATCTGGATATGTCATGGATTCCTGGGGTGTGTGGAAGATGATGCGCCGGACTGTTTTTTCCATTGAGGATGTAGAAGACGTGTGCATATTTGGATTTATGACAACAGGGTTTTTACTTTTTGGAATCGGCGGATACCTGGGATATCGTATAAGTAGGAAGAAGTCAGCAGCAGTAGTAAAACTGCCTGCCTTATGTGAAAGATTACTCCGTACTTCCAGCTCTCAGACAAATATGCTTTACAAGCTGAACTGTAAGCTGGATGCAATTTGAGAATCGTGGGCCACTTGCAGTTCCTAGGACTTGCCAGCATGAAGGAATCGACCTTGGAGAAGGCTAACAAGCACGGACCGGTGGAATGTCCTCAAATCTGGATGTTTGGATTTGCCATTGAGTGTACCAGCAGAACTGAAGGCAGACATGAAATCAGCAGCGTCGGCCTGTCCAAAATAATTGTTGCTTATCTCAATCTGGCCTCCCTGCTGGCCTTGGATAAGCCAACTGATCTCAAATTGCTCCTGGTGGATACGTAAATTAAGAAACTCTGGTCTCTTCTTTTTTCTGTTTGCAAACAAGTATTAGGTTTGCGCTCATTCAGAGCTGGTGTGATAGTTGTATAAAGTGTATTGTTAGTGTGGCCTGCCTGTAAAAGGAGAAAAAAGACTGACGGGAAGAAGAGGACAAAGCCTGCTTGCAGCAGCTGGCCATGTCTAAATCCTGGGAGTGGAATGGCTCAAGATTTTTTTCTTTATTTGCTCTCTATTCCTTTGTTTGTTGTTTTTCCTGGAGCATCGAGGCAGAAGCCTCTAAAGTTAGAATAAGTAAATAAATAGTTTAAGATGCTGGTGAGCATCCACATCCTGGAAAGTTTCTAAGAAGCTTCTTCCCTTGTGCTACTAACTGTGGACCATGCCTTGTGGATTGTTTTCATATGAACTCTTCCCTCCTCTCCTTACCTCTGTGTATCTGCAAGCTTGGGCTTCAGACACTTTGAGTGATATGCTGATACCCTATAGCACATGAGACCACATCTTTCAGATCAGAGCAAGAAAGAGAATTTCAAACTAACTTTCTAAACTATTTCACGATTTTTGTGAATGTTTTTGACTGTTGCAAGGATTTTTATACAACCACTGTCACGCTAATGTGTTGTAGCAATGTTTTTCATGTGTAGACAACACAGTCATCACTAGTTCTTAGATGTGTAAGTTCAGTTCCTTAGCCTGTTACAGTGGATAAAGCAGTACCTAATCATTGGATAGTTACACAGACTCATTAAGCTAATTTTTGTGTTGATTGTTCAATGCAAACGTATGGATGCAGTAACTATATTTTTATTCATTGTTTTACAGTATTTTGGCATAACAGCACCCGTTACACCTTTACTGTCCTCCTTGAAGAAGGCAGTTCTGGACTGAATGACCTAAAGATAAAACTTGTGAATGTTAGACTTTTTCTTCTGCCACAGTTGTGTTGTGTTTAAGGTTCAATGTGGTACGTGGCAGCGACACAGGTACAGTTCTGCCCGTTTCTTCTTCTTCTTCTTCTTCTTCTAATTTCGAGCAAAAATATAATTGTTTAGGTGCAGTTCTTGTTAATTTTTGGAGAAACGAGCCACGTTCCTCCTTCCTTTTTCTTTTCCTCTGTGTGTTCATGGAGCACCGAGGCAGCAAACTATTTTTTTAATTTAGCTGATTTGACCATTAAAGTACATTTTTTAAGCAAATGTTTGATTGATACACACTTTAATATAATTTTGATCAAACCAATAATTGTTTTTAAGTGTTAATCTTGTTAAATTATTGTTAAAGTCTTCCCGTGCACGCTCCCGTGGCCGCCATTTGGTGGCCCATCAGTTTTTGGCACAACACCGGTCCACATTTCCGGGTTAAATGGTAAATGGTACTTATATAGCACCTTTCTACTTTATTTCAAGATACTCAAAGCACTTTACACTATAACCTGTGTCCTCATTTACCCATTCATACAGCTCTATACTAGATCTACACAAAGACTAATCAGAGCTTTATCACATTCATACACAGATGGGACACACATCAGAGGCTATGAGGGGTTCAGTGTCTTGCTCAGGGACACTTCAGCATGTGACTGCTGGTGGATTTGAACCCCCAACTCTCGCATTGGAGGACGACTGCTCTAACCACTCAGCCACAGCCGCCCCAATTTGTCGGCAGTGACGCATAATAGATGCAACGTATACGGTGAAGCAACATATTTATGGATTTTTCCACTTTATTAGACAAATATGATGCAACTTGTATGGCGGTGTGACGTGTACAGTGGAAAATACGCTATGTGGTTAACTTCCAACATTGTGCCTTACATGTCACAGCACTCAATGTTACTGAATCTGCAGGCTCAACGACTTGGAACAGCAATTTGTTTTCAGGTGATCACATAGACTTGGTGCATGCTGAGAAGCTTCAAGAAAGGTTGAGTCACTGCAGACAACATTATTAGTTTAGTTAGAAATCATAACCAGGCATGGCTTTACTCTTGTGGACAAAACCTTAATGTAGTAATAAATAATGCTGTTGAAAACAAACCAGCAACCACTGAGCACTTGGTGCATGTTGCTTCGTCTGCAGTGTTCTCTCTGCCCTGCAGAGCAACTGTCCCGCCACAGCATTTACCAAGAATAGTAATAAGGAAATTGTATATTTGTTTTATTAGTTGGGATGTTTGTGCTTAACAGTTTGCTTCAGCAGTATTGAGTTAATTGTGAAACAGAAGTCATGGCTTGTGTCACAAAGCTTAATAAATTCCCTAGTTAATATGTGAAGTAAGAATTCTACAGAGCAGAGCAGCTTCACCTGATCATTATGAAATCTGTGGTCAGTTTGGACCACATTTAGTTCATTCTGTTGTCTCTTAATTGGCTTGTAAATTATGTTAAGAATAAAGTATTTACATGGAGAAGAGTGTTTTTTTATTGCTTTAAAATGTTGATGTCTTGTGTAGGTGTCAGGCCCCATCTGCTCTACACCTGTCTACACTGCACCTGAGTCCATCTTTTATCTTTATACAGTCCATGCTCTGTGCTTTAGGGATCAACACTTTTGACATGATACGCTGTATACCAGATATGTGCAACCAGCGCTGGGCTGATATTATGAGCTCCAGGCAGATTTATCAGGCTAAGAATGAAAACGTGGTGAACTTCTACCATCATATCCTTAATGTCACAGCACACAATACCTTTGAAAGTTGGAGTCTGCAGAATAACATCTTTAAACGATCTGAGAGAGCTGCCGTGTCACCACAGACAAGAATCTGCATGTATGCAAGCTTACAGAACACCTCAGCTTTATAACTTGAATCCCACATTCCTTGTTTCTTTGAATTGAAAAAGCTCCTCAGATGAGAAGCAAAAAGTCTTCAGTTACAAATAAAGTCCAGTTGTTTTTGCTTTTAATCTTGTTTGAATCACAGACAAGAAGTTTATTCAGCCAGGAATCTCAAATAGAGATTTGGTTTCAGTGTTTTGGACAAAACCTTAGTGCAGCAGAGAACAACAGTGAATAAGTACTCAGAAAAAAGTGGGGTTCACGTCCATAAAGTCTGTCCATCAGCGCCGCCTGGAACGATGGACGTGAGGTCCGCAGGGTGCATGAGGAAACAGTCAAACGTGATCTGTCTACAGTAGAGCAGCTTGAGGCGGACAAGCAAAACTATCAAAGATTCCTGTAAACATCAGCAAGATAAAAATGCAGCTTTTCCAAACATTTAAAAAACATACAGTAGTCCTTCTTTTATTGTGGGTGTTAGGGACCACGCCCCCCACGATAAGTGAAAAACCACAAAGTAAGCAGAAAGTAGTTGAAGTTTGTCGTGACGTGTCAGGCTGCAGTCACACTCACTCATCACCTGCTACTCCCAGTCTCCCTCATTTAATAAACTATTTAAATTTAAATACTGTAAGAGATTAAAGAAACAATCCATGCAGATGGATTGTTTCTTTAATCTCTTACAGTATTTAAATTTAAATTGTAGAGAAGAGAAGTGCAGCAGGACAACAAAGGGATGTCACAGCTCTGCAGCACGGAGCAGTTCTTCTTGATCAATGACACTGAAACAACTGAACATAGATGTGCTAAAATAATTAAAATGAACTTTTAACACTTTTATATTTTGTGATTATGATGATTTTACGATGTGACATACTTTGAATTTTAAGTTGAAAGACAAAAGTTGCATCTGGACAGCAAAGGGTTAACCCTTCACAAAGCTGCTGCAGCAGGAGAAATGTGTGCTTTGCAGAGAAGGAGATCAGCTGATCAGCTGCAGGAGGGAGCTTCCCCCTGGTGAAAAAACATTTTAAATAATTTATGTTAAATAAACAATCTATGGCTCAACCATCAATCAGCCAATTGTGTCGTGTCCAATCTTACTTTGAAAAACTTCAATATAGCAAACCCATGAAAAACGGACCATGGAGAAGCGAGGGACTGCTGCATTTTAAGTGAAACCAAACTAGCTTCTGAACCGTAAATAGCCTTCATCCTCTTCTTGTTCTTTCAGCTGCTCCCCTCCTCAGGGATTGCCACAGAAAACTAACACACATGAAAACTTGGCAACTGTTTTTACTCCAGATGTCCTTCCTGACACAACCACAGACACTGAACTACCACAGCCCTCTGTGTGGAGCAGACAGCTCACACCTCAGGGGGCTAAGAGGCTCACGCTGCAGCAGTTTGCCTCAATCTTTAGGTACTATTTCTTAGTACTAATAATTACTATGTACGGATCAGTTAAAATTCTCACTCCTCTTTCACACAAATCACACATCAGCAGCTTGTGATTAAACATTAACTTCTCTGAACTTTTTGAAAAACCTGGTACGATCTGGATCCACAACAAAGAACAAAGAACTGTTTTACCATTTGACTGATATATTTGTAGCCACATGCATTTGAAGGTTTGTACTAAAGAAAAGAAGCTCCAAACATTTAAAATAAAACCACAGATACACGCACGCGTACCCCCCGCCACCAACACCCCCCACACACACACACACGCACACACACACACACACACACACACACACACACACGCACACACACACGCACAAAGGCAGCTGTGTGTTAAAAAGACAATTAGTCCTGGAGAACTTGACGACTACTTGTTTTTAGAGAAGCAATGCATTTTCCCTGGAGTTCTGACATTTACAGCATCATATCGTTGAATAAAATCATTATCAATTTAATAAAAGTAAATACACTGACTCAGCTGTTTATCAAGGCTTAATTACAACGTTCCTTCTCCTAATGAAAATGTGTGTGTTTGTCTGGGTAATTGAAAACATTTTGTATTTCATTAAATGAGGGCATTAAACCATAAAATCTTCATTGTGAATACAGTCACATCTGTTTGAGTTACCTGCGGGCTAACTAACATACTTCATGTGCACACACGTATGGGAACAAACATGCAGGAAAAACTGTCTATAAACAATGACAAAAGGGCAACGAGATTAACAGGCAGCTTTGTGATGGTTAAAAATTCAAATGAGTGTTTTACATTTCTCTGCCCGACATGCCCATACACCAGAACAATTCTGATTCTCTCTATTGGGAAAGTCAACTTGAGAACTATCGTCAAATATTCACCATTTTGCTTCAATTCCTCCAGGTTGTAGTGAGTTTTTGTGTAATTTCTCAATTGAAAAAGTTGACATTTGGAAAAGTCAGGGATTTGCTTTTTGAATATTAGTGATACAACAATGGAAAAACTCATTGGTAATTTATTTATATCTATTTAAAAATTATCATACAGTTTCAAATGTATATGTAAAGTGGTTGAGTATGATCAAGGTCATGTGACAAATAAAGCACATAAAACAGAGTAACTTTGGCTGAAGTCCTACCATTGTCGCTGTCTGACTTGTTGTCATGCTCGGTGTCTGTAAGGGTCAGCAATGAGTTGGAGCGACTAGACAGGCATGAACTCTGACCAGATGATTTCCCCAGACCTCCTCGACCCCACAGCTGCATGGCCCGTTCTGGAGACGTCACAGCCTGACTGTCAGAAACCAGGTTCTGGGCCATACCAACCGAGAAGCCATGGTGAGGAAGGCCAATATCAGAGCAGAATGGCAGACCACGACGCGATGGTGGCTCACAGATCCCCAGCTGACGGAGACGGAAATGTTGACCTGCAAAACAATCAGATGGAAGACATTTTAAACTTTTAAATTTGTAAACTTTCATTTCACAAGACTTTTACAGTAAAAAGGAGTTCTAGTTAGAGAAGGAAAAGCTTTCCTGGAAGGAATGCACATTGCTCAATGCAGACATGTTCCTGTTTTTAGTTTTCCACATTCGCCTTTGTAGTGGACTAGGCCTCTGACCAAAACCTGCCTCTGAAGACCTTCATGGGACAGGAACTGTTATTTCATTGATTTGAATCCAGAAATACAAATTAGCTCATCCAGAGACTGTTTAATTGTATCCTGGGTTAATCAATTGAAAGAACACTCTTCTTTTATATTATCATTACTATTTTACAATATCTTGATAAATCAAAAGTGTGTTTAGTTCATACCATTTCTAAATGTTGAAGTGAACCACTCATTTTAAATCAACTGTGAAACAGTATTAATGATTTTTTAATCCTCATTTAAATTAGAAATCAAGTTAAATGTCTATTTTACAAAGTAATTATGCATTTTGATCTTCTGTCTGAAATGAGAAGGAGTGATGTCGGTCAAAAGTCAGAGACAGTCAAAAACAACTTGTTAGAACGGGCTGTCGTGTTTTTAAAACTCTCAGACAGTAAATAAGAAAACTGGCACCTGCAGTGTTTCTCACTTCGCCAAAACATTTCTCTGTCTGTTCCTAAAACATTCTTGCTGTTTTCTTGACTTGTAAAAACCCTCTGACATCACTAGAACCACACCCCTGTTGGTTGCTTCAACCAATCAGGACTTACTAAAGTGACCGGAAGCAGAAGTCTTTAAAAGTCGACACTTCCTGGAACTATTAGTCTTCTGGGGTCTTGTGGAGTAGTTCTGGAGGGAAGTTCTGTTCTTCAGCTCTAGCTGTTCTGGAGTTCTGGAGTTTTTCCACTGCTGAGTGGAACTTCAGACTCAGTTTTCCAGTCTGATGGAGTCATCCATCTCTGCTGTGGTCACGGCGTCTTGCTGTGACTTTCACCAGGCGAATGCCCTACAACTTCTGAGGAAGTTTGTTGTGTTGAACGGAGTATCTCACGACTTCTGCCGAGTCGCAGCCGCCCTGAGGAGACGCTGAAAGGTAGCGTGCCAGGGACCTCTTGACCGTAGCAGACCCATCCTCTGCCAAGGTAAAGAGTCGTCACGAGTTTCACGCGAAGTGTACCGCGGGCGCACTGCGTTTGAAAGGAGCGTGTTGTTCTGGTTTACAGACATACATCTTCCTCCACATCTCCCTTTAAACTCCTCAATTTTTCCCATCTTTAAACTTATATCTTGCCAGTAATTAATCCAGATGCCTTCAGAAATGTCTGTTGTTTTTATTAAGTAAAACGTGCCAAGTTTTATTAATCAGAACCAGATCAGTCTAATCAAGTGTACAATGTTTTGATGTTAAATTTTGATTTTGTTCAATAAATGACTATTTATTTTGATGGGTCAAAGAAAATTAACATCTCATGTCACTGATTAAACCATCTATGCACAGTTACTTCCGTCACATGGCTGTAATTAGCTCGAAAAAGAGAGAACCCGTTATTTTAAAAATAATTGCAGTGAAGCTACGAAGCTAACCTAGCCCCATAGAACACTACATCTGGTGGCCCGGACGGGTCTCTAAAGAGCTTCTCGTGGCCCGCACGGTCTCTAAAAGAGATAATTTAGGACCCATCCTCCTCTTTAGACATTTTGTGGCCGTACGGATGTTTAAAGAGATATGAATTATATGTGACGTGATCTGTGTTACTGTGGAATAACGCTCATGTTGGCATAAAAAGGTCCGAGTTTTGGACTTGGTACAGGCATAATTCATGCTTTTGGTGTTGAGAGAGCTGAAATCAATGTCAATATGTTCGTGTTAAAGCTGAAGAGTGTACATCTGTGGGTGTAACGTGTAACTAAGCTGATGCTGTGGAAAACACGTTGTATTCTGCTTAAACTGTAGCAGAAAAGGTTCTGCTGTCTGACCCGGTTCTGTTTACTGGACTCGTTGAACGAGTGGTGTTTTAAATGGATAATACGCTGTTTTTAAAGCTGGGCAACATACATGAACCAATGACTTGGTGGTGTCCCTGAAAAGGACGCCAAGGCTCTCTTTTCTACCTCCTCCATGTACAGGTTGTGGTGTGGTGTGGAGTGGTGTCTGATTTTAATCTTAAACTGATCACCTCTACTGCATCATCAACAGGAATGCACGTAAAGAGTGATGTGAAATCAAGAGACCTGGTTCAGGTATGTTGACGACAACTGGGTTAAAATTAAATCTCAGGAAGTCCAACATTTTACTGACCACATCAACTCTGTGGATAAATACATCAAGTTCACACGAGAAGATGTAAAAAATGGCAAGTTGGCTTTCTTGGACTGTGAGGTCTCAGAGGACATTTGCAAACCGAGGTGTACCGCAAACCCACCCACACAGACCAGTATTTGCAGTTTGACTCCCATCACCCTTTGGAGCACAAGTTAGGAGTCATCACGACTCTGTATCAAAGAGCAGACAGCGTCCCCACTAACTCGGGAGCCAGGCAGAAGGAGAAATCCTACACAAAACAGGCTCTAGAGCAATGTGGATATCCTAACTGGGCCTTCCTGAAAGCAGAGAAGAAACCCAAACAGGACTCCAGTCAGCTATCAGGTGAAAAGGAGGAACACAGACCAGTGGTCATTCCGTATGTTGAGGGAGTATCAGAGAAACTGAGACGTTTATTTTCTAAACATAACGTCCCAGTGGCTTTTAAACCCCAAAATACATTACGGCAAAGACTGGTTCATCCCAAAGATCCAGTCCCCCGGCACAAACAGAGTAATATCGTGTATGCTGTTCAGTGTCAGGAGGGCTGTGATCAGTCTTACATCGGGGAAACTAAACAGCCACTGGCCAAAAGGATGGCCCTGCACAGAAGATCAACAGCATCAGGCCAGGACTCTGCGGTCTACACTCATCTCCAGGCCAGCGGTCACTCTTTCAGGGATGAAGATGTTCACATCCTGGACAGAGAGGAACGATGATTTGAGAGAGGAGTAAAGGAGGCCATCTTTGTGAAAAGAAATCGTCCATCATTAAACAGGGGTGGAGGCCTCCAGGTTCAACTGTCCCCCTCTTACAATGCTGTGATTGCTAGTATCACTCAGCCCTCTGTGAATAGTAAACAGCCATCAGTGTGCTAATGATCCAATTTTAGGCTGATGGTCCTTCTTGAGCATGTGATCAGCTGGTTTTGGTTGTCAGCAGCAAACTGGTTGATCCACTCAGAGAAGGTGCTATTTAAGAGACTGAGATGAAAACAGCACCTCAGACTGAGGAAGTCTCTTGGATGAGAGACGAAACATTTCTATATTTATTTGCTTTTTTTTTTTTTTGAATGTCCAGAGGACCAGATTGAACTTTTTTGGAAATTAGATGGAAGTTCATCTGGTCCTGCAGATTTTTTAGGATCAAGACCTTTTAACAGTTTATTAACTTCACTGACTGAGAATGGAGAAAAAGAGAAAGAGTGATTGAGGTTTGACTTGTAAGAGGGATTTGATTTGTAGAAGTTTGATTATTAAGTGAAGTGGCTGATCTTCCATTAGTAACTGTGTCAAATAAAGAACTAGAAGCAACAAAGTGTTTGTTGAAACAGTTCAGGATCTCGTGCTTATTTTAAAGGAACTGACATGATTCGATCACTAAATAGACCCCAGTTGGCAGAACCGAAGCACAGACAGATAACTGGGTTACAAAAATAAACCTCTTTATTGTCTTTGCAGGGGAAAAGGAAGTGGAGCTAGGTTCGGCCTTGATGTTGGAGCTGGGGAGACACGCTGTGTGGTTCTGGGTTCCGGAGGACGTCTTGAGGAGAGGATGGTGAGTACCTTTGTTGGATTGTTGGAGCTTCAAGGAACAGAGAGTGCAGGAGCGGGTTGGAGGTAGATGAGTGTTTGAAGGGACATCCCATAGGAGGCTCCTGCCTTGGTGTTGAAGCCTTGGAGAGCCCGAGATGAATCTTGACGTGGAAGTCAAGAAACTGAAAGAACAACGAAGCGTGGAAGCTTGTTAGATAAATATTGCCAGGAGACAATAACAGGCTGACCATTACTTTACCATGTAAAGGGTAATGTCCCAGCACTGGAGAAGAGCCTGGCTGCAGCTTTTATGGAAGGAGCCGAACCCATTCTCCAGAGCAGGCGGCAGGTGGAGATGATCATCAATTAGCTTGGTGCAGCAGCTGTGGGAGATGGTTAGTGGCAGAAAAGAAACCAGAACTCCCACAGAGCCCCCCCCCCTCAAGAATCACCTCTCGGCGATCTGATCCTCTTTTCGAGGTGATCCCTAAAAAAAGAAGAAATCAGATCGGGGTCCAGGATCTGAGCCCTGGGAACCCAAGAGCGTTCCTCCGGCCCGTACCCCTCCCAGTCGACCAGGTACTGCAGGCCTCTGCCCCGGCGGCGAACGTCCAAGAGGCGCCGGATGGAGAAAGACGGGGCATCTGCGATCAGACGTGGAGCAGGAGGAGGATCGGCCGGGGGGTTGAGTGGGCTAGAGGAGACTGGCTTGAGGAGGGACACGTGAAAAGTTGGGTGAATCCTCATGGAACGAGGCAGTAGTAGACGAACGGCCGAGGAGTTCATGATCTTCACAATGGGGAAAGGACCAATATACCTGGGAGCCAACTTGCGGGGGGTGTCTGGAAGGGAAATGTCTTTAGTGGACAACCATACCCGTTGACCCACCTGGTAGTGGGGCGCAGCAGAACGACGTCTGTCGGCATACTTCTTGTTAAGGTCGGCGGTACGAAGAAGAGCCGCTCTTGTCTGTCGCCAAATCTTGCGACACCGTCGAACATGTAGTCGGACCAACGGAACCGGGACCTCAGTCTCCAGGCTAGGGAATAAGGAGGGAGAGTACCCAAGAGAAGCCTTAAAAGGGGACATACCGATGGCAGATGATACCTGAGTGTTGTGGGCGTATTCCACCCAAGGCAAATGGTCAGACCAGGTGG